GGTTGGAGGACCAAGAAAATTGATTGGAAGATATCAAACAAAACAGACAACTTGCATGTTTGGCGAAATTAGGAATGAAATGGGAGTAATACTGGAGTGCTCCTAGAACTGAACGCAGTTAGATTGGTTGGAGGACCAAGAAAATTGATTGGAAGATATGACATCAAACAGACAACTTGCATGTTTGGCGAAATTAGGAATGAATGGGAGTAATTCATAACTTGCTGAAATACACCTGGTGAAAAGTTCAGACCAAACGAAAGGAAATTGTATCGGAATAACCCATAGGGTTTGTTGATCACGGTAAGGTTACTAGAGGCTTCGTCCAGTGGTATTTGAAGATAGGCAGCTTTTAGATGGATTTTTGAAAACACACTTGAACCTAATAATCAATACAGTACATCTTCTGGCTCTCCGTGGTACATGTACGTTGTAGTAGCCGCGTATTTAGCGTAAGCCGGTAGTCACCACAAATTCTCGGAGTAATACCATCAGTCTTTAGTGGGGTGACTATCTGGGTTGGTCAATTCGATGATTTGACAGGAGTCAGTATTCCCTTTGCACACATTGAATTTAATGCTTGACGAACAGGCTCGCGTAAGCCAAATGGAATAATCCGTCTCTTAAGAAATATAGGCTCTCCTGTAAATTCCAGCCTCACCTTGGGAATATGCATGCCATCTGTAGCCTTAGAACATTTCAGAATCAGTTGTTTGAGTTCAATTTCATTCACATAAGTCAGTAAGGTGATATTAGTTCGCAGGGAGTGCAGAACGTTGAGTCCGACAATCGATGGTCCCGAGGATGAAACCAAAAAATTTTAATCAATAGAGGTACCTTGGAGCAATCTCACAAGGATCGTGCAACTACCAACGAGAGGTACAGAATGTCCAGTGATACCGCGAATGTTAGATCTGTAGGCACTAACACGGCACTGGGTTAGAATGCAGTTAGACCTGATTGTGGAATGATGGACTCAACACTACCAGTGTCAACAATAAAGTCATACTTTTGACCAGAAGCGGATATCAACGTTTTAAAAACATGTGACGAAGTTTGGAACAAAACAGATAGAGAAAGAGTAGAAATATCTTTAGATAATTCCTTCACATCAGTATTTGGGTCACAAGTGACACACTTTCTTGGACTTACAGACAAGTTGAATGTGTCCTGTTTTACCGCAGATAAAACACTTCGCTCGTCTGTGGAGGCATGAATATCTGGAATGGTTTCGTCCACAAGAGTCACATTTCCCAAATTTTTGAGCCATCGGATTAGGGTTACTATCTGTGAAGTGACTTGTTGATGGATTTGGGGCACGAGAATCTGTTCGAGGTTTGAATTTGTTGTTCGTCTGCATGCTTGAATTATTTCTTTTAGAATACTTCAACAAGACTGCTTCCTCAGTCTTCGTCACATGCTTCACATCTTCATACTGCTCACACATTTTCCGAATAGTTTGAAATTTCTGATCCGGACAGAGCAACAGCCTCTGCTGTAATTCGGGCAGTTGAATGCCAGCAATGAGCCTATCACGCAGCTGGTCTTCCAATTGGGCAACGTAGTCACATTTGGCTACCTATGTCTGCACCTGCAACACGAAATCACGAACCGACTGAGAATGGGAGCGGGTCATCATATTGAACCTAGCTCTTTCGGTTGCTACGAAGTTAATCGGCTTGAAGTGTTGAAGAACTTTTTTCTTCAATGCAGCGTAGGAAATATCGGTTGGCCATTCAGGCTATTCTAAATTCTTGATCAACATATACGCCTCCTTGCCAACGAAATGTAGGAAATATGCCATGAATTTCTTATCATCCACATCAGATTTTGTGAGATACCATATATCAAACTGTTCCAAATAATCCTCCACGTCACGCGCAGTTTAATTAACATCTAATGGTTCCATTTAAGCAGGCACGGTGAATTGTTCTAATTGCGACGCCCAAATGTGAGAATTAAGTTCCGCATGTATCTCGGTATAACTAGAATTCAGTGTAGCGTAACAAGTAGCACGTATGTATTTGAATTGGCGTATATGTACATCATATGGAACATTAAGACAAGGTAATAATGAATAGGGCAATGAATAGAGTACCAATCATGTTCACCACACACAGGCATCTATAAAATTCCCGCTTATGAGGCCCCTTTACCTATGTTACCAGACGAACCGCGGGAGGCGACCTCAACGTGTCAGGCAAGGATACTTCCGGCCGGTGACTTAGGACCATACCAACCCCTTCAGGTTCCGCCGTAGCATCTCTGGATCACCAGAGGCTGAAGTTCATGGTTGTATTCAACTGAGATACTGTCAGGGTACCCACACCTGGACAAGAGGACGATTAGGGTCCTCAGTAGAGGTCTTTGGCTCAAAAGCCCAACCGCAAGGCAGCGGTGTTTGGCGAGAAATGTAAACGCATCACCATTTCCACAGAACAAGTCGTCGCATGTTCCATTCCCTGACATGTAGTGCCAGGAGACCTCTAGCCACTGACCAACCTGAGCGACCCCGTGAGTGTCACGGGACACCTCTCCCCAATACAGCTCGATGTCAATAAGTACTCGATGGCCAAGTTTACTGTCAGCGTATTCCCCAAAAATCCTCAATACTTTACAGCCCGTCTCAGGTTAACTACAACAGTTTTCAAGTCACCGGTTCAATGGAATTCGGTTGCCAATATGTTGACTCCCGCAAAGATGCAAGTTTCTAGTTGTTGAGTCGTGCGAGCAATCTGTTACTCAAAAGCCCCCTTCATATCTATTTGGCAAGCCCACTTTCAAAGAAATAAGAAGGCGGGATTTAGTTTAACTTCCAATTCTGGCATCGTTAGAATGCAAGTGAGTGTGGCGCAGCTAGAAGATAATGAACTACTCAGTTCATACGACGCACAACAAGTGTTGCGGGCTGGCGTGGGTTATGCGTCAACATGACAGGGCGTTGGATCTTGAAGCTGCGCCAGAACTTTGTTAGATTGAATTTTGGTTCCTCTTGGCCATTTTCCACAATTCAGCTGATCTTGAAATCGACCTTGAGGAAGTAAAAAGATAGCGCTTTGTGAAAA